AAAATAATGCCCTCTCCCCCATCTCCGGCCGTGATGATTAATGCAAAATAGTGCATGAAATATTTCTTGTATTTCATCGGTGGGGCAGCAGTTCATGATAAAATTGCCCTGTTATGCTCGACGTCTTCTTGAGACGCATAGCACACAAGGGAGAGCTCGGAGAGTTCGGACGGCTGGCTTTGAATTCAGCTGAAGCAGAAAGGAACTGATCTGGTTGCCCGGTAACACCGAATGGTCTCCCTGGAGCCTTGTGTCACGCTGCGATCTACCTTCCAGCCGTAACTACGGAACTTCGCTCGATTCTCATGTTTATTTCCCGTTGAAGCAAACGCATTATTACGCGTTCCCTGTGGACGCATGACGTCGCGTTACTAGAACGGAATCAGAGCGGGATGCTGTCATTGCCAAACTGTACGGGTGGAGGAGGCATTCAGAATAATTGTATTGCGAAGATTCAGTTCATAGAAGGTGTGTTGCTAATGGGATGAGTCTCTGCAACATCTTGTCTTCCTGCTGTCTCGCCTTCGTACCACATCCATGACGTGCCTGTGCAGTCTATGCCAGTTAAATAGGATGCCACACTGTCTCACGTCTTATTAGCATATTGTGCTCTTCCCATTGTTTCTTCGTCGTCTTCGTCTTACGTTCCTCTTTCTTGTCTTCCTTGTTCTTTATCTTATTTCTGTTCATCGCCCACTTTCACTTTTCCACTGCGTTTCCATAATATTTATCTGCTTATCCAGCATGTCTTTTACACCCTCTCCTCTCCACATTTTTGTTCCCATTTCACATCTTCTTGGCTTAATGTTTCACTTCCTTGTTCATCAGGATTTCCCATCCATTATGGGTTCACCGTCATATTTTGCTCTTCATCTTAGCGGATTAGGCCCTCAATACAGAATCATTTTCTGAAAATCTGACTGTTTTAGACATTTAATGGGACTTCTGGTTTGGGGATCGGCCCGTCGTATGATCTCTGTCGACACAAGATAGCACAAAGAGATAAAAACGGGGACAAACGTTCATGCCACGAATGGGATTCGAACCCATGACCCCAGTGTACTAGCGGTCGAAGACAGTATGCATCTGAAACCACGGAGCAACTCCGATCTAGTATTTACTTGAAGGTACAATTACGAAGCTCCTCATTACGTGACTTCGTCAAGTTTTCTGTCAGTTCCTGTGTCAGATCCAAACAGTTCCCACTGTGCCCGTGTCTCAGGAAACACTCAAGCTGTGTACCAAGTTTCGCACCCAGACAGAACACGAGAGGGGTTATAGTCCTGTGGATTCAGACAGCAGGCGACAGGGCAGAAAGCTCTGCACTGAACAGCAGCAAGTATTTGCTGAATATAATCCGTGAATATAACTGTAATTTGTTGGTGTTCTTCACAGATATTTGAAATTAGCCACATATTCGAACTTCTTGGTTTTCTATTTTTTGTACTTCAACCGATATTTCCTGTTCATGAATGTTTCAGGACAACAAAGGAGCTCCTGCTTGATATTTGATATGGCGACAGCAACGTAGCACATCCCCCCCAGTGACAGGTTATGAAAATGTCAGTAAATTTGTGCGATGATTTGTGCAAAAGTTCTCACATCTTCAAATTCTATATCTGCCATAGTCTGTCGAACGTTAAGAAGACATTGCTGATACACTAACAGCATGCATATAGTGTGTATTCGTGTTGCCTGTTGCCTAGTAGAGAACACCAGAATATATGCCAGTATGTACGGTAGCTGCGGCTGCTGAAGCGATGTGCTCTTACACCAGCGTGAGAACACTTTGATTTGGGTGCTACCGCATATTGTGATGCTGACAGGGAGAAGTCATATTCTGGGCGATTGAGCACTCCTACTTGCGTCTAATACGAATATTTTAGAATTGTTTTTGATCACCAGGTATTCGACGCTCCTTACACTTGGAGCGGGGTGTCCGTGTATATTTTTCACAAGATGCTGATTGTTGAGATACGTGTGTGTTAACTCGTGTTCTCTTGCTTACTCCTGCAGTTGGTACCCTTTACTTGGCATCGAAACACATTTCGTGACCTGTTGCCATTTCCCATCTTTGCTTTTGCCTTATCAATGCAAGGTCGCGATTGCTATGTTGGCATTCTTTCTTAGTACCCGGGTTCGATTCGCGGTGTCTGTCATGGCCGACAAGCTTTATGGCGCTTGGAATGTTCAGGAAATGTTGAGAGTGCGGCTTACATAGGGCAAGACTGCCCCTTCCCGATCCCTTCCAAATTCTCAACATCTCCGCAATTTGATGCTGTACAGCCTATGTGCTTGGGAAGCCGTCGGTAAATGAGCTAAGAAACAAACATTCTTGGTTGTTATACTCTTCCTTCCGGGCGTGTCTTTGCTTCCCTTCCTTCACAATACACGGCTTGGTTGTTATACTCTTCCTTCCGGGCGTGTCTTTGCTTCCCTTCCTTCACAATACACGGCTTGGTTGTTATACTCTTCCTTCCGGGCGTGTCTTTGCTTCCCTTCCTTCACAATACACGGCTTGGTTGTTATACTCTTCCTTCCGGGCGTGTCTTTGCTTCCCTTCCTTAACAATACACGGCTTGATTACACTGTCTTACTTCCTCTATTGTTAAGATTACTAACTCTTTGAAGAACAAAGCTCATTTAAATAATACTGTCACGTGCACGAGTGACTATAGACGGGATTTCGATTGGTGATTCGATTTGTTGAACTCTTATACACACACACGGCTCATAACTGCAACTATAACAGCGCCACTGGTTTACACACCCTAAAAATCACTACAACTGCAGTACACATAAAGTCTTCGCAGTTGTTTCCTGGTAACGGATCCTAACAGTGTCCTCTGCTTACGCCCTTACCGTCTGGCGAATATCCCACAACTCAAGTTATTATTCCAACTGTGTAATAATCAGTTTAACCGCACACGCGTATCTAGATGGAGTACACTGACCTGGATCGGAGACTATCTAGAAGTGCGCTGTAGATCTGGTAGTCTAGTTGGCGGCTACGTCCTTCTTGATAACGCCTCCGCGAATGGAATATCTCAGGGTTTATTGGGCTAGTTGATAAGAGGTGTTATCATTGAATGTT